TCGTTTGTCACTACTTTACTATTTTCTTTCACTCTGATTGAAATAATACAATAGGTGAAATTCACGTCCTAAACTCTATGTCCAGTCAAGCAAGCACATTCACTTAAAGTGTGATGGAGGGAGTATTCTGTGTAGGTTCGAAATAATTTATAAAATTGAGGAAGCGATATCCAAATGTCTGCCGAAAGTAGAACATTTGATTCTCATACTTTAAACTTTGTTATTCTTTCGGGATGGAGGATGTATCTGCTATTTTTATTCTTATTTTTGGTAAACTAAGTAAGTTCGTTGATGGCATCAAGAAGTTGCAGTAGGTACAAAAGAGAATGTTAGCTCCATTACATAAGAGATTCCTATCGTAAGATCAGGGAGCTAACAAAATCCAAGGGATGTATCTTTTTTTTAAAGATCTGCACACATCTCTTTAAGTTTATCTTACAGTTCCTGTCCCTTGATCCTCTTTGCTGCCAATCATATAAGGGTTTTCCTTAGTAATTAAGATTATTCCAGTATGAATTAGCAGAGATGCTTGCCTTATCAACAACAACAACAACAAACTCAGGGTAATCCCACTAGTGGTGTTTGGGGAGGATAGTGTGTACACAGACCTTTTGATAGACCCTCGGCTCAAGAAAAGCATATAATCATAGCAGTGTTGAAAAGAAATACGGTAGTGGAGAAGCGATGGAAAAGAAGCAGTAACAATACCAAGATAATAAGAAAACTACATCAAAAGAGACGACATGTGGTAATTGAAATCTAAGAATAAGAAAATACGAGAATAATACTAGTATTACAGGTAAAAGAAAGATGCTCCACTACCTAGTACCTACTAACCTATTATTCTGATTCTCGACGTCCACACCCTCCTATCAAGGGTCGATACGCTTGCCTTATCATTTCAATTTTTTCACTCTATGGCATTCTTGAGATCTGCATTTCTTTGTTCAGAAAAATAGAAGGAATGACAAAAAAGGCAGAAAGGAATAAAATGTGGTGATGTATTTCCTTCACAAGATCTTTCAGATTGGAAACTATTTATGGTTTTAATGTTGCAAGCTCCTCTTCGCCGCCTTCTTTTTGTTTTTGTTTAGTAGTTTTTGCGATGTCTTTGGTCATGTCTAACATGTTCCTTAGACCAAACCCCTCTATCTCCAGCTAAAATTAGTAGTAAATAAGCTGTCCTCGAAATACTTATTCCATTAATACTTTTTCTTATATGTTTTGACTTCTGAAATGTGCTCTCAGGTTGGCCACCTTGGAGAAGCTTACCAAGAGTGGATTCACCAGCCCATTGTCAGCAAGGAAGGTCCGCGATTTTTTGAAAGTGATTTTTGGGAGGTACTGTTACCGTTAGAATTCATTTTCTTCATTAGCTTGAAATTTCATTTGTCATACGGCTTATGTAAGACAAGTATGCTATAAAACTTGCTAGCATGCATCCATACAAATTTTCCACGTCACGTGAGATAACTCATTTTTACATCATCTCACTATATACAGATTACAGAAGGTATTGATAACTTTTATTTGTGGAGCAGTTTCTGACTCGCACAGTTTGGTGGGCAATTCCAACCATATGGCTTCCAGTTGTATGCTATAGTATCTTCACGTCTATCCGTATGGGTCATACTGTCCCGGAGGTGGCATTGATGGTGGCTTTTGGCATTTTCATCTGGACACTGATGGAATACACTCTTCATCGTTTTCTTTTCCACATTAATACAACGAGCTATTGGTCAGTGCTCTCTCTGTTCTTTTTGGGTAACCTGAAATGGGAATGTATCATTTCTGCAGTTCTGCCTGAGGTTTCCCGCTGCTTCTGGTTCTTTATTCCTATGTTCTTAAACCCTTGTGTTTTACAGGGGAAACACTGCTCATTATCTTCTTCATGGCTGTCATCATAAGCATCCCATGGATGGTCTACGGCTTGTTTTTCCACCTGCTGCAACGGCTGTTCTTTGCATACCTGTATGGTGGATTTCATATCATAGCCTCATTTTATTTTAGCTGCGAACCCTGTTTTTTCCCTTAAATATTTTCACACAAATGTAAAGATCCCAATTTCTAATGGTTGAAAGCGCCATTAGCGAAATGAAAAGATAATACTCCCTCCATTCCTTGATTGTTGCTTCATTCTGTTCTCAGAGGTCAAACTACGCCTTGGCAACGGCATCTTATTCTGCCTTTAAAGTGAAAAAAAAAAGGTCGAAGTAATTAGAATTTTAGAGCGTATACATCAAATATTACATGAATCTGCATGGAAAACCATTGGACAAAATCCAGTTTGATTTTGAAAAAACTTCAACAAGACCAAAGTGACTCAGGGAATATAAATGCCAGCCTACTTCAACAGCTAGTAAAAGTTGGTAGTTTATATATAAAATGTAGCAAGTTGAAAACTACTATGTTATTATTTGCTTCTTGTAAGTGATAANTTAAACTTTTAGACGAGAATGTCACATAATCGTTTTAATAGGTTATGGATATGAGTCCACTCTCACTCATTATCAGCAGGGGCGGATCTACCATGTAAAACATGGTTCACGTGAACCTGTGGTCCTCGGGTTAAAGTATAGATATGATGTACATAATTTGGCAAAAATAGATATATATATTTGATGGAACCCATGGTCAAAAGAGGCCAAATGGTGCACTGGTTTTGGTCTCTTATTTCCAATAGCCTAAGGTTAGGGGATCAAATCCCCTACCAACCTTTTTGTTTAATTTTTAAAAAAAAAATAATAATAGTGCACCCATCCTCCGGAAATCCTAGATCCGCCTCTGGTCGTAGCTCTTCAGCATATTCACACAACTAAGCATTTAGTATACTTGTGATCATTATAACCAGAGGCGGATCTAGGATTTTCGAAGGATGGGTGCACTATTATTATTATTTTTTTTAAAATTAAACAAAAAGGTTGGTAGGGGATTTGATCCCCTAACCTTAGGCTATTGGAAATAAGAGACCAAAACCAGTGCACCATTTGGCCTCTTTTGACCATGGGTTCCATCAAATATATATATCTATTTTTGCCAAATTATGTATATCATATCTATACTTTAACCCGAGGACCACAGGTTCACGTGAACCATGTTTTACATGGTAGATCCGCCCCTGGCTACGACTATCTACCTTTCCCACAGCTTGTGATACAGTGCTTTGTAATTGCAGTTCTGGAACTTGATCAAATTCCTGGCGACTCCCTCTACTGCTCCTGCTTTGTTTGGAGGCGGTCTATTGGGCTACGTTATGTATGATGTAACCCACTACTACTTGCATCACGGACAACCGACAAATGAAGTGCCTAAAAGTCTTAAGGTAAGAGGATGAATATGTTTGTGGATACCTCTCTACGACTTCCATGTGGCTGTTTGTTTATTTAGTTTTCCGAGATGTCTCCTTTTAGGTGTAAGACTTGTCAGTTTTGGGGAGTTGTTTTTACATCCCTGCTGGTTTTTATTTAATCTATTTTATCCAACTACTAACCAGAGATTTTATGATAGCATAGCAAATTATTTTATAATCATTTGTGGTACTTGAGAATTGAAACTGTTAATTTCAGGTTTTAGTATGTGGCCCAATCCCTTCTTTAGTACTCTAAGGAAGGGCTGTGGCGTGGGTTTAGGTTTTTTTTGGGGGTGGGGTGGGGGTTGATTCGAAGCGAGAGTTTCATCTCAATCTGTGAATCTCAAAAAGGTGTTCTTAACCTGTTCAATGAACCTAACTGGTGATTTTTTTTGCCCCTTTCACAGAAATATCACTTGAATCATCATTTTCGTATCCAGAACAAAGGTTTTGGCATTACCTCCTCTTTCTGGGACAAGGTATTTGGAACACTACCACATTCAACATCAGCCAAGAACAGATGATTCCCTTTTGGGGAGGAGAATTACAGTACTAAGTGATATCTATTAGAAGGGTTTAGAATGTTATTCTTTGAAATCTAGTTCCATTTTTTCATCTGCCATTATGTTCATGTCACAGTTTAATCGGAAAATTTGCATCTCAGCCTTGTGACAACTTGTGTAAGGGTTACATAACCTTGCTGCAAAACATTGTGTTAATCAGTCCATCCAGGTTGTATTTATCTTCATCATTAGGCTGTATATTGACCAATTATTGTATCTTGTTCTAGTTTGGCAATTGGAACAATCTGGTTAATGCATAGCAATTTTTTCTTTTTCCTGTGGACTAACTTGACTGACTTGACCCTTCAATCTACAACATTGACTTATTTAAAAAGTACCACTATTTGTGTCAGCAGTTGCATCTAATGGCAATGCACATAGTCATGCAAGGATGAAACCTCCTATTGTATGGAAGAGGTGTCTATGCAGCTATCCAGTGTGAATTAAGTGAAGGAGATGTAGTCATTCATTAGTCAACTTGCATAGGCAAATATCCCTCTAATTCTTCGAAATCTATTCGAATATTTTTGGTACTATAGTTTGGAAGATACTATGCATGATGAGTTTCTGGAATTATCGTTAATGGAAGAAGTACGCTGACTAAATAGCATTATTTTTGTTTTCATTTGAGCAAGTTGAATGGAGGTTTGAGAACCATATTAGTCGTGGTACATAACATGATCAAATTATAGTGAAAATTGCACTATTCATTTCCCCCTTGTTGATTACTACCATATGCAATAGTGTACGCGGTGAAGAACAGCAACTACAGCAGCTCTTTTGATTCCCAACATTCTTCACATGAAACATCTGCATTTAGAGCCCCACTCTCATTAAGTGTGCCTTTTTTTACTCTTTTGCATTACACTGGGGAATCTTGAGTGCAGTATCTTTTTTCTTTATATTAAGCTTGTGTATCATGAGGCCTAGTGTTGATTTTCACCTAACCACCTGTCTCCTCTCCCCAATCACAATCTTGCAATTGCCACATGAGAAAAGAACACAAATAAACAAAGACTATGAAAGCCAAAATTATTGTGGCTACATAAAGTTGTAGATACTTTGAAAAGAAAAAGAGTAAAGGAAAGGCACTATAATAGAACCTTTGTCTCCCTTTAATAATGAGTGTTTCTACTTTCTCCTTCACGACAACTTCCTCCACTAATCTAAAACTTAAGCATACGGTTTTGAAACACAATTCTTTTGATTTATTTAAATCATCCTCTCCTTCTCTGCTACTTCCCAAGCTCTATTCTTTATTTTCAAATAAATACCCGTGACCAGACATAAGTTCTCTCCATCTATATTATTGTCCAAGATCATGACATGTCCCAACAGTCCAAAACTATAAAGTCTCGTCCTTTGTATTGGATTTTTGCTCTGGATTTCCTCCATTAAAATTCCTCAGATACTAAAACTTTAGAAAACAAATTAGATCTTTTTTGTTGAATTGGAGTTTGCAAGCATGTCTTTTCCATGGAAGAAATTGAAGAAGACAAGTATATGTCGATTGGTGAAGGAACATATTCGTTCTCACAGGAATGGTGGATCTCCTCTTATAGTAGAAACTGGTTTCCCTACTTCCCTTATAGATCTTTTTGTCAAGAATCGCCAAAGGTTCATTAAACCTTCCAAGAAAAAGGTAGCTAAGTCCACTTTCAGCTCTCCTTCTTCTCTGAGTTTGCATTTGGCTTCTCCTATGGCACCAGCCACTTACACAATCAATAAGGGGTCTCAGTTAAAGGGTTGCCAGGAAAAAGGTGAAAGATTTGATGTTGATACAAATCAGGTGTTAATAGCACTTGTGAAGATCTTTCTGGTGGTGGTTTTAGTTTTAGGAGCAAAGAACTTTGTTATGGGGATAACCATGTCAGCTATATTGTTGTGTTTCTTGGAATATTCGTATAGATGGCTCATTCCTTGTTCAGGAGCAAAAAGGAGGATTCTTTTTATGGTACAGTGGGTTTGGACATTCATTGGAGGCAAAATGATTGAGTTAGAAAAAGATGACTGTGTTTTTAAAGCACCATCAGAGTTGGCTAATCAAGGTGTCAAGGAGAAAACTTATGAGTCAAGTAGGGATAGAAAACTGGATGAAGGAATGGACTCAGAGAGGAAAGAAGAGGAATTGAGGAGTGAATTGTTGGAATCCAAGAAAAAGAAATCTCATAAATCTAATATGAAATCCAAGATGAAGAAATTTCTTTCAAACAAGTTGAGAAAGAAGATAAGTTCAATGATTGTCAAGTGAAAGTAAACAAGTTTTGCTCAAAAAATCTAACTAGAATAGTTCAACTTATTCCAAGAAAGCTGTGAATTGCAGATATTTAGATAGTTTAGTTTGCTTCTTATGAAGTGCTGATTAAGCCTTGGTAGAATGATCAACATTTGGTTAACCACTTAACTTAGAGGTTTTGTATTAGGAGTATATTTTTTAAATCTCTGATACATACAAGATTAAGTTGTTTTAGGTTAAAAGTATTTTCCTCTTGCAAGAAAACTCTTCAGCTTGTGAGCATCTTCTCATAATAAAATATATTAAAAAACAGACCCAAAAAAAATGTCTTTAATCATGTGTAAAGTGTAAACCCTAGAACCCAGTTATATATATATAGGGATTTAGAATGATCATGACTACTTCACCTAATACTTTAGGTATTTTAGAAAAAGAAACATTAGTTTTCATCCCGAAGGAGGTGAAAACGGGTACTAATAGTTTGCTTACCAAGTATTTTTTTCTTCGAAAAGCTTGATCAAAGACTTCAACTTTGAAATTTTGGTCCCGGAAAAGCTTCACCAAACATGCTATATTAGATTTTTTCTGAAAAATGCTTTTCTAAAAAGTATTTTTAAATAAAAGAATACTTTTGGTGAGAAGCAATTTATTTGTGTTTTGCTAATTTATTTGAAAAATACTTTTGAACATTAATTAGTATTTGACCAAGCTATTGAAATATGCTTTTAAATGTATTTTTTTTCTCAAAAATGCTTTTTGAAAAAGTGCTCTCGGGGAGAAGCTATTTTTTTTTTAATTCTCTAAAACTGCTTCTGCTCTTTTTTACTTCTAAAAATTTGGCCAGCTTTAAAAAAAAAACTTTTAGTAAAAAAGAAAAAAAAAAAAAAAAGCTTGCCCAAACGGGTGCACAAACAACAAAACCACGCTTAATGCCTTAAAGTGTGTTTACAACTAGTAGTTTTTACTAACTTTTGCAGTTTCAACTAGTAGTAAATTGAATTGCTTCTAAAAGTTGGTACGCCCTAATCCCTATTTGATAAACGAGTTCTACAATTATTGTTCTTTTGCGTACAAAATTACTTTCCNGGAGATGCTTAGAGGCTAAAGGGGTCCCGATTGCCTACATTAGGGCGATTAAGGACATGTATGATGGAGCTAAGACTCGGGTTAGGACAGCAGGAGGCGATTCAGATTATTTTCCGATTATTACAGGATTGCATCAAGGGTCTGCGTTCAGCCCTTTCCTATTTGCCCTGGTGATGGATGCTATAACACATCATATTCAGGGGGAGGTGCCATGGTGCATGCTATTTGCTGATGACATAGTTCTAATCGACGAGACACGACGCGGCGTCAGCGAGAGGTTAGAGGTTTGGAGACATACCCTTGAGTCCAAAGGTTTCAGGTTGAGCAGGACGAAGACGGAATACCTTGAGTGCAAATTTGGGGCAGAGCCGACGGAAGCGGGAGTGGAAGTGAGGCTTGATTCTCAAGTCATCCCTAAGAGGGGTAGTTTCAAGTACCTGGGGTCGTTTATTCAGGGGTCCGGGGAGATCGACGAGGATATCACACACCGTATAGGGGTTGGGTGGATGAAATGGAGGTTAGCGACGAGAGTCCTGTGTGACAAGAAAGTGCCACTGTTACTGAAAGGTAAATTTTATAGGGCAGTGGTTAGGCCTGCTATGTTGTATGGGACCGAGTGTTGGCCGGTGAAGATCTCACACATCCAGAGGATGAAAGTTGCAGAGATGAGGATGTTGAGGTGGATCTGCGGGCATACAAGGAAGGATAAGATTAGAAATGAAGATATTCGAGAGAAGATGGGGNTCTCCTGGAAACAGCCTCTCTGCCCCTTGGGGTAGAGGTAAGGTCTGCGTACATATTACCCTCCTCAGACCCCACTTGTTGTTGTTGCGTACAAAATTACTTTTGCCCAAAGCGGCAAAGCCCCACCTTTCTTTCGGGAATAAATAAAAGTGCAAATTTCTATATTTAATTTTTTCTTTCACACATACACACTATATTATTCTCATAAACATACCCTTTAAAACCTTTTCAAACTCCCAAAACCACATAACCTTCTTTCTCTCTTACTTTCCCCACAATCAAAATTCACAATATATGCATGTACACTATCGCATTAGTTGTACTCTATTGCCATTATTAAGTTAAAAATAGTGTTGTAAATTTCTTAGATCTTTTAAACTATTAATATTTCTTTTCAATACTTTATTTCACAAAAAAAAAAGGGGATAACAACTTAGATCTACTTATTCTATTTTCTTTTGAATATGATTGCTTGTGCTTAAGCTTTTTTCTAATACTTTAGGAGTTTAAATCAACTAAATTTTGCGTATTAAGTTCTTCATTAGCTGAATATATAAAAGACTCTCATATTAAATACCTTGTATAAAACTCTTTCTTATTTGAATTATGTAATCTAATTTTTTAGTAAAATATAAAAATAATCTAAAATTAAACGGCAAAGTCCACAAAGAATAAGTGAGAACTAACTGTTATTAAAGTCGGTAATAGTAGGCGACACTCTCTCAATATTTAAGGATATTTAGGTTCTCAAACTCTAAGTTTTTTGCTTTGTAAATATATACGATATCTAAATTTCCTTTTTTGCAAGGTGTTCTAACTCATCTCAATTAAGGATCTTATTAGTTCATATTTTTTTGCCTATATTTTATAAAAATAATTATTAATAGTTATACCAACTCAAATGGCTAGCCACCTAAATAGAATTGATATATATCATTTTGAGAAACTTTTATACTATTTTTAGTTTATATTTAATAAATCAAACACATTAATTAATAATATTTGTATAATTTCAAAAAATTATACTCATTGATACCCTGAGACTAATTAGCAGAAATGGAAGTACACTGACTATATAGCATTATTTTTGTTGCCGTTTGAGCTAGTTGAGTGGAGGTAGGGATGGCAATGGGGCAGGTGTGGGGCGGGGCAGGGCGTGTTTAGAGATATGCCGGGTGGTCCAGGTTTGTACATATGTGGGTGGGGGCAGGTTAAAATAAAAGAAATTTATTTTTTTGTGGGTGCAGGTTTAAATTTTTTGACGAAATATAGTTTTTCAAGTTCTTGTGGTTGTTGTTATGGAATTTATTTTCACTTTTCCTTCATCTGTGATGGATAAATTAATAGGATCTTTACAAATATGAACAAAATGCTTTAATCTTTTTTGACAAGTTGACCTTTTAGTAAATAGCTTTTGTAATTTGGTGTTAGTATCTCCCTTCTGCACAGGTTTTGGAAGTAATAGACATGGTATATCAGTGTTAGTTTTTGAATTGAAGATTGGGATGTGTATCGCATCTCAGTGGCAAACTTTTAGCTTAAATATTTGATTCTACTCAATGATATGGAAATATTGGCTTTTTTGCCTTACTACATGCTTCATCGGTTGCTATTTGCTATTGTATATTTTTTTCTTTATAAAATTATACTTTTTCAAAATATAACCGGTGAAAAGATTAGGTATTTGGCATTTGAGGATATAAAATCTAAAATCTGACCAAGGAATTTCTCATGTTAGCCCTCATTTTTCTCACCTAAAATAGAATGAGATTGACAATGTCGTAGTTAAATTATGGTGCTCAGTACTCATTTTGAATGCTTGATTCTAAATTTAAATGGTTATTGTTTAGCTTATGTATGCTTATAATTAAGAAGCAAAACTAAAAATAAGACAACGGAAAAAAAAATGTGGGGCGGGTGGATTGAAAGAGCTATGCGGGACAGGGCGGGCGGGTTGAAATTTTACGTGTTAAGATAAAACTCGGCCCGCACCGCACAACACCGCTCGCTATCCCTACGTTGAGAACCATATTAGTTATGGTACATAACATGACCAAATTATTATAGTGAAAAATTGCACAATTCATTTCCCCATATGCAATAGCGTACGCGGTGAAGAACAGCAACTACAACAGCTCTCCTGACTCCCAACATTCTCCACATGAAACATGTGCATTTAGAGCCTCACTCTCTATAAATGTGCCTTTTTAGAATATTGAGTGGTATGGTTTTTCCTTTTTAATACTAGTACTAGTATATATTAGGCTTTTGTATCATGAGACCTAATATTGATTTTCTTACCTAAACACCTGTCTCCTCTCCCCAATCACAATTAATCTTGCAAAAGAACACAAATAAACAAAGACTATGAAAGCCCAAATTATTGTGTCCAGACATAAAGTTGTAGATACTTTGAAGTGAAAAGTAGTAAAGGAAAGGCACCATAATAGGAACTTTTTCTTCCTTTAATAATAAGTGTTTCTACTTTCTCCTTCACGACACCTTCCTCCGCTAATCTAAAACTTAAGCATACATACGGTTTTGAACCACATTTCTTTAAACACTCCTTCTCTGCTTCTTCCATAACTCTATTCTTTATTTTCAAATATATACCCGTGACCAGACATAACTTCTCTCCCTCTATATTATTATTGTCCAAGATCATTGCATGTCCCAACAGTCCAAAACTATAAAGTCTCGTCCTTTGTATTGGATTTTTGCTCTGGATTTCCTCCATTAAAATTCCTCAGATACTAAAACTTTAGAAAACAAATTAGATCTTTTTTGTTGAATTGGAGTTTGCAAGCATGTCTTTTCCATGGAAGAAGTTGAAGAAGACAAGTTGGTGAAGGACCATATTCGTTCTCACAGGAATGGTGGATCTCCTCTTATAGTAGAAACTGGTTTCCCTACTTCCCTTGTAGATTTTTTTGTCAAAAATCGCCAGAGGTTAATGAAAGCTTCCAAGAAAAAGGTACTTTGAGCTCTCCTTCTTCTCTGAGTACTTTGCATTTGCCTTTTCCTATGGCTCCAACTTCACCAGCCACTTATACAATTAATAAGGGGTCTCAGTTAAAGGGTTGCCAGGAAAAAGGTGAAAGATTTGATGTTGATACAAATCAGGTGTTAATAGCACTTGTGAAGATCTTTCTGGTGGTGGTTTTAGTTTTAGCAGCAAAGAACTTTGTTATGGGGATAACCATGTCAGCTATATTGTTGTGTTTCTTGGAATATTTGTATAGATGGCTCATGCCTTGTGCAAGACCTCAAAGGAGGATTCTTTTGACAGTAGAGTGGGTTTGGAGATTTATTGGAGGCAAAATGTTTGAGTTATAAGAAGAAGAAGAAGATGATGATGATTGTGTTTTTAAGGCGCAAAAAGAGTTAGCAAATCTTCCTTGCTCTTATATGGCTG